CCGGGGGCACAGAGAAGGAGCCGAAGCACCTGTAGTGTCAACACCCGCCGCTCATCCAGCTCCACCCCTGATGCTGTCTGGTCACCACCCAAAGGAGCCTGTCCATCGTCCCTTTCCTCACGTGAGGATATGCTGAGCTCTATAACGTGTGTCTGCTCTGTTAATAACTGGGAAAGAGCCTCTTGTTTTCCAGGCGGGGTTTCAAGAGCAGCCAAAAAGGAGACGGCTACAAACGCTTTGATAGCACAGCTCAGGAAGAGCTTTTAACGGAAATCCCTTTCATGCTCCTCTTTTGCTCTACCCAGGATTTCTCTTCTACTTGTTTTCACCTTCCTCCCATCCTACCCTTCCCTCTGCTTCTTCACGTCTCAGGGTCCTGGTACCCATTCTCCATTTCTTCTCTGTTACTTCTCCCCTTCATCTTTCGCTTTCATGTTTCTTTCTGGGTTTTGCTCATCCTTCACATCCCCACTATTCCCTGGTGGTGGCTGGCAGCAAAATGCTCCCGCTGCTGTTGCTAGCGTATGGCAGAAAATTCATAGAAGAATGAAAATCAGGTCTGCTCTAAAAGCACAATGCAGATGGGCATCCTTCTAACCAGACCTGGCGGCAGCCCAAGGGTGAGGAGGTCTGAAGGAGGAGTAAGTGCTGATTGAAATATGGGATTCCAGCAGCCACGGGGCCAGGTTTAACCCTGCAGATGTGCGACATTGAGTTGGGTGGGAAGGACCCACTTATTTGGGTCCCAGAGCATCCCCAGGTGATGGAAGTGATTTAACAGGGGAGATAGCAGGCAAAGGGAGCCAGCCCCTGCCCCGCAGGTTGCACCCTCATCCCTCGGGCGTCGGGATGCCCAGAGAGGGGCTGGACCGCTGCTGGCTCAGTAAATGGGATGCAGGACGAAGGGTGCCGGCCGGCTCTCCGAGGGCACGTTCACTCACCTCTGGTGGCTTTGTCAATGTCGACGTAAAAACGCAGCATGGCAGAGCCCAGCATGAAGGCCACCCCCGGCCCGATGACAGTCACGGAGAACAAGATCCCTGCAGAGGGGCGAGAGCAGAGAGGGGCTCAGCCCTGCGTGAAGGGACCGGGGGGGACAGGAGGTGCCTTAAGGCAGGACCGCGCTGGACCAGGGTCCACCCCATCTGCCTCCAGCACGGACTATTTCCCTGGCAGCTTTCTTCTCTCATCCCTTTCAAAGGATAACAACCCCATGCTTTCCAGGATCCCTCCACAGGAAAGGCTTTGCAAAACTCAGATCTTTCCTGACACTTTTCTTCAGCCTAGAAAGAAAGTCTAGAAAGACTGAAATACACCCAGGAAAAAGATGTGCCCCTTGGCATAAGAAATCCAAGAAATGCAAAGGTTTTTTACAAGGTTAAGGAGATAAAAGGTATCAGCAAGCTCTCCTATGTGAAACACTGATAAAAAAATTAAACACATGTGAGATTCAACTCCTATAGAATCATAGAATCATTAAGGT